CTTTCAGCCCCTGCAGCTGTCCCGGTTGTCACTCCTTGTCTTAAGGCTCGCTCCTGGCTCAGTGCTCCATCCCACGGATCAAGGGGATGTCTGTCACTGCATGTATGTGTGTGTGTGTGTATGCGTGTGCGTGTTTTTGCCGCCCCAAGAGGTACTGTGAAGTGATTGTAGATACTTGGTAGCATCTGAAAAACAGCCCGAGACACAAAAGGCAAGTTGAACGGTGTTAAGACCCTCTCTGTGTGGAGTAGACCCCAGGCATGAGGTCATCATCATTACTTTAGACAGCCTTTGTTCCACACTCTGATTGACAGGTGGAGTGATTATCAAAGATGTTGAAGAGTGTGGGTACAGTCACGAATGTCACTAAAATACATCGAGCCGTTCTGAAGTTGGATGTTTACATTTTGAGCATTAATGGAACATGTTTTCCATTTGAAATGAGTGCAGAATTCATATTTTCTTAGCCTCAGTCTATGTTGTGAACATTCATTTTTCAACGTCTTAATGTGTAACAGTGGAACACCACAGGCACATTTTCTCTATCATATTGACTGATATTCTTTATAACAGAAAATTCCCAAATTTACTAAGTCTCAGGAAGTACACTGTGTCGTGCATTTCAACAAAATCCTTCATCTTTTTAACTATTTTGCAGGTTCACTCCACCTGACCTCAGATTATTATGAACCTTAAAGTCTGTAAATCTTTTAATCTGGGTTGATAAATTTAATACACTGCTAATATACCACAATTAAACCTGTGTGCGTGTAGGAAAGTGGAAAAAACTCACTGTCTGCTCCCTGTCCCGGTCCCTTATGTCTCAGAGATTAGCCCTTGCTCAAACAACTTCTGTTCATCTAAGTAATTAAGGCATTAGAATTATGGGATTATAAACTGCTCTCAGTTTAATCCAGCACTTGATGCTCTCAACATCTTGCCAAATGGGTCAATAGGAAATATAATGGGCCTCTGTGATTTCTGATTCTGGGATGTGGAAGAGGAAAAGGATGCCAATAACGGCTATTAAAAGAGCATGTGTGTGTGTGTGACAGAAAGAGAGAGAGAGAGAGATACACACACACACACACTGACAGACATAGAGAGGCATGAAAATAAGACTGAACGACCAGACCAGCTTTGCCCTGAGTGCCATCTGTCTTGGACCCTCTAGACCCAGTTCAGACTGGATGAAGCCAAACAACTTCAGTGTTATCTCTCCATTTCTCTGACACTCACAGTCTATTTTACCCGGAGAGAAACTTGTACTCCCACGCTGATACCCACGCCCCCCCATTTTTCATTGCTGTTATTGTGTATTTATAAAGAACCAAACACATGTTAAAATGTGTGTTTATGCAACATTCAAAAAAGAAAAAAGAGAATGAAGTGACGTTGACATACTGCGGTCAAGACGTATCAGAACAACATCAGTTCTTAATACAACAACAAAATCCCCTAATGTCATACAATCGCACCACAACACAGGGATCAATGGAAATGTTTTTAACAGCAGATGCACCAACCAGAGATCAGGGGCAGAGGTGGTATCGAACCTGAAACCTGCCACTGCCCCACTGTAGCTACAGTGGACATGTCTGTGATCAACGATATTCATGTAATCAGTGTTTCAGATAAACATCTACAAAAAAACGTTTGTCAAAAAAGAGACAAACTGTTGTTGTATACGCCCTCATATACAGATGAATAATAGTAAATCATAAAACGTTTTATTTCATTGGCGCCTTTCTATTGGCAAATAGACATAAGACACAGATCGTTGATACTCAAATAGAGACAAAACAAGTACAAACTGTACTCTACTGTGTGTGTGTGTGTGTGTGTGTTATAATAACCATGTATGATGACTTTGCCCCCAGGCCTTACAGTGCAGGGAAAACAAAATGTTAAACATATAACATCTGTTATAATTTGAATGGCATTAATCTTTTTTTTTCCGTTTTTTTTGGCTTCAACTCAAACGTCAGTTCTATCAACTTACATTTACTGTATTTTCAAGGCGTTATCTCCTTTCACCTTCTTTTGGCAGTTGAAAACAAGGATGTGCAGACAAGAATTCACAACTGCTGTCTCATCACCCATAATTTAAAGTAGTAGCCTAAGTATGTGCTTAGTATGTTTTGTCTAAGTATTTGCTATACTTTTTTTTTAAATCATAGGCTGTTAGAACTTGTTTCTGCCTGTCTGATATGCTGTGGCTACGTGTTTATTCGGGTTTGTGTTCCTATCGGGCAAGTGTTCCAAGTTGACACAGTGACAGTTCCTCGCAGAGCAACAGAGGGGCCCTGCTGTCCAACAACAGAGGCTTTGTCGCCCTGCTCCTCTTGGCTTGTTAGGGACTTCCTTCTTCTCTCGCTCTCTTTCTCTCGCTTTTGCTCTGCACTTTTTTTTAGTGAGCCCATTTTCTTGTCTGAAGTCTTAATTTGGGGCGCTGGCCAGTGGGGAGAGGGAAGAGACGCAAGGGCACCGAGGGAGGGAGCAGGGGGGAGCGGAGTGGTGATGGCTGCAGATGGACGGCCCTTTGTTCCTCCTTTCCCAGGCTCCTCTCTTGAGCCTCCGAGGCTCCAGTTGCGCTGAAGCTTTCCAGAGAGAGAGAGAGAGAGAGTGAGGTGTGTGTGCGTCTGTGTATATCTGTTTCATCATCCACTTCTATGTTGCAAATGCATGTACAGTTTTAGACATTAGACGTGTCAGTATGCAAAAATTGCAGCGCTTAAAGTAAATAGAGAGAGAGAGAGAGAAAGAGAGAGAGAGAGCAACCAAACAACTGAGAATAACTGTGGCAGGATGGGATGAGAGGGACATCAAAAAAGTTAAACAGTGTCCGTTCCACATAGTGACCACTAGGTGTCCTCCTGTTTGATACCAAACGTGGGCAACTGTGAGTTGATCCCAGGCTGTGCCAGTGTCTCTGGAGCATGCAGTGTGTTTCTCCATCCACAATAGATGAAACCCAGTATTTAATTACGAACACATGCAGGATGAATCCATCAATCTGTGCAACATGGAGATGTGGTTTTGTTGCCTTTGATTGGAACTGGAATCATTTTTCTGGAAAAGATTAATTGCATTAGCACTAATAAATTACATGCACTGTCAAGCTAATCAAGGAACCGTACAAAATACATCTTTTTTTAATTCTCAATTCACAAAATACATCTTTTTTTAATTCTCAAGCCCCAAATAAGTTTATATGATTTCATGTCGAAATATTTCTTATAATATTTTCCTTATGTTGGCCAGTTGGAGGTGGATGGCTGTAACACAAAACCATCATATAATCCCTGCCTCTGCTGAAGGAAAAAATAAATCAAATAATTCATATTATTAATATAAAAGTATAATATAAATATTATTAATATAAAAGTCAACTTTGTCGATGTTGGAAAATACAGTAATACACAAATAAATACAATAAAATAAACGAACCATAACATCCCGGAGAAATAGCTAAAGATAAGACACACAGAGTGACAGTATCAGCGAGGCTGCTGGGAGTTTGCCATATATTACATATATTATATATATAATATCATCAATATTAATCAACATGAATTAACAAGAATAAATATTAACTAACTATATTTAACTATGTTAAAGAGGTTATTTGATTTGACAATATTTGCTCAAACAAAGCAAAAATCTAAAAGTTGTCCAGAATTAGAGGTAAAAAAAACTTCAAAGATATATATATTATATATATATATAATTTAATTATTATCCAAATGAAGTAAGATCTCCCAGAAGTTATAGTTGAAAGTACAAAGGTTCTTGAGAAGTGTAAATACTAAGTGGAAAAAAGTTCTGTGACTGTGACAAGCTGCCATGACAGGAGGAGGGACTTGAACACAGAGACCTTGGGGACCGTGTCAACGTTTTCTGTGCCGGAGCAGGGACAAACGTTGGGCAAACATTGGGAAAGGCTGGCAGCCTCTGAGATAGTGGGCCGTTGATCTAAGACTGAGGAGCTGGAGTCCACTATCTCCCGTCTGATACAGCAGCCAAGGTCTTGCTGACACACAGAGCCACAGAACAAACACGGATACCTGAAGACAATGACCTTTGAACCTGCGGTGGTGAGAGGTGGGGAAAAACAGGAAGTGGTTTAAGTGACTCCAGTGGCTTTCTCTCCCAGGCCAAGAATGAATCAGGTGGAATGATTGTATGTACACGGGTCAGTGTACAGAAAAATTGTGCAGACACACACATTGTTGAGGAGTGTAGCGCACAGCTGTGGTGTGTGTGGGTGTGCGTGCATGTGTGCCCACATGAGTGTGTGTGTACACGCCCGCGTGTGTGTGTGTGGAGGAAGTGGCAGTGAGTCTTCAGATGTAGCGACAGATGGTATTTGATTACAGAGCAGACGGTCGGTGTTGTACAAAGATGCTGTCTCAGCCTAACCTAAGGAGCTGTAGCCTCCGGTGAAGGCAAGAGAGGCGAGGCAGGCGGAGGCGAGAGGGAAAAGAAACGCAGCAGAGAGTGGGGAGAAAAAAAAAGTAGAATAAAAGCAAGCAAGCAAGAAAGACACAAAAGAAGCACCTCCGAAAGTGAGCATCAAAGCAGAGTGAGTGAGAAAGGAGTCAGTTGAGAACAAAAGAAGAGAAAAAGAAACAGTGTAAGGATAAAAACAAGATGGCAAATAAAACAGAGGTCACAGTAAGAAAACCACAAAATAACAGCCAGACAACACGCAGAGTCTCTTTAACATTAAAAAAAAAAAGACTTCAAACACTCACTAAACAAAATATGTTTTATGTTTTCTTTTGAAAAATGTGAATGGAGTCTAAAGTCATTTCTGAAAGTTGCAGACGAGTGCTGCCTTTTTATAGCATTATAAAAAGTATAAAAATAAATCAAATATGACAGGGTCAGTTCAAATGACCAAACCAAATTTTTTAAATATATTTGTCATATATATAACAAATAAATGATAAATAAATATACAACAACAAATTGTGTAGGAAGAAACGACACATTTCTCTGCTTTGTTTTCATTTTTTATTTTTTTTTAATTCATTTTGCACAAGCTTGCATATATACTGCACATACATTCAGTTCATAGAGGGTAAAGGCACAAAAGGCAATTTGACTACTAGTTGTTTTTGGGCTTGGCCAAAAGTAATGGGGGGGTCAAGAAAAAAATACAAAAGCTGCTTAGAAGGTTGCTTCGGCTTTCAGCCATTTTCAGGAACAGAATCAGACTTTTTTTTTCCTTTTAATCCAAACTGTCCAGTTCCATTTAGCTGCCTAATCTCAGCACTATTTAATCATTCCTGGTCACTCCAATAAGCAAACTGGAAAACATTTCCTCTTTTTAGGTAGTTAAGGATCGTCATCATTTAGAGTGGTTCTACTTAATGAAATGCAGTACAGCCTTCCCTGTTTGGGGGGAAAATAACAAAGCAAAAGAAAATGACATCAAATAAATTAGGATAAATTAAACCAATAAATTACACAAAATAAGCCAAGACAAATTGACACCAACAGAAGAAGAAAAAAAACAGCCATATCTTTATGTATTTTACAACCTGTGTTTAATTATTGACCGTGTTTAAAACATGGCTGTTCCAGTAGGAATTACTGCACTGTGATCGAATCATACAAAAAAAAACTCAACAAAAACTGTATTTACATAAACATATTGCTAAGTTGTACAAAGGCAGTATTTATCGCTGCGAGTCCATGTCCTTGATATTTACAACAAAATGGAGGAGCAATACAATAGTAATAATAATCATAATAATTAATTAAAAAAGATTACTACGGAAAGCAGTGTGAAACAAAAAACTCTTTCAAACAGGTCAGGAAACGGATCAGAGGAAATTGTCTCTCACACACACACACATACACACACATTGCCAACGCTTAATGAGAATCATTTACATGTCAGGATGGTACTCCCATGGGTGGGGGTGGGGCCACAGTGTTGAGAATTGTGTCACTCAGTGGTTCACAGGTTCTCAGAATCTTTTTTTCCCTCTCACTCTCTCTCTCTCTCTCTCTGACACACACACGCATTGCAAAGCATACAGAAATTCCACATCGTCAAAACTTCTCCCAACTGGTTGAACTCGGTAAAAAAAATGGATATAAATCTTTTTTCATTTATTCTATGACTGTACAATGCGGTGCGTTCCGTTTTGTGACGCTCGTCTTGTGACGATGAGTTGTCTGCCTGTTTTTGGACAAAAGCTGGTCCGCTGACCACCAGAGGGACGCTCCCTGACATCTTCATTACCCGACCACTTGCCCGATGCATCGTTCTGTAGAGCAAAAATTAAGAAACGGATGCTGGTGCAACATCAAGGGCACTGCCGATGGGGAAACAGAATCCCGTTAAAGGCATGGCAAGGAAAAGAACAAAATAAAAATGTTGTTCTTTTTGTTAAATTTTTTTCTTTTTTGAAAGAGTGGTTACGGGTTTCATCCAAGAGGAAAAAAAGCATCTATTTTTCCACTCTTTTTCTTCTGTGTGACTATAGAAAAACTATACATCTCTTCTTTGTCTCATCCTGACATTATTTACAGCAGTGACAACGACAGACTCATACTTTAGGAAAAAATGAAAATTCAGTGTGTATTGTTTTTTTCGAACAGCCATTTAGCACATTACAAAAAGGTAAAATAACCATAAGGTAAACTGGTCACAAACCTGCAAATAACCTACATCTATTGCTCCGTAGACTAGCAACATGTCACGTATTCAGAATTAAACAAAGCAGTCACTAAAAATATCTTCTTAAGATTTCTTTATGAAACGATTCCTATCAGTGCCCGCTCACAGAAGTTGATCTACAGAATATAATTTTTTCGTAGAATCATATTTTTCATTTCTTAAAAAAAGTCTATTCTGTGTATGTATTTAAATAACGTCCTAATTAGCATACAATGCCATAAAAGGGAAACAGGATAGAAAACAAATTTGAATGCAATATTATGGTGTTGCTAATCTTTTGTCTTCCGTCCTTCTCTGCACATGGCTCTTCATTATCCTGAAGTAATCTTTTTAGGATCAGAAACTCTTTAACATTAGGGTGGGGTTGCAGGAAGTGCGGGGGTATGGGAGCGACAATAATCTGTGCATCAGATAAAAGTGTCCTTTCCCTTCTCCTTTTGTCTGGGCTGCTTTAGAACCCTTGGTTGGTGCTTTGAGACTCTGAGACATGAAGGGCCAAGCCCATCCTTCAGTGAGAAAAGTGTCCGGCTTGTTCTCTCAGGGCTCGGGATCTTAAGAAGAACACCGTCTAGGGAGGAGGAGGAGTGGGGGCGAGGGGGACGACATAATGAAGGGAGTTGCTCCCTGTCTTTCTCTGCCTCCTTTTGTCAGCGGCTTTGTCTCACTTAGACAAGTCAGCAGGTTAAGCAACCTGCCAACCTTTTTGATCTTTTGATCTACCTCTCACACACACACACAGACTCAGTATTGGGCCGTGTTGTCGAGTTTAGATCAATGACCAGTTCACATGCACAGGAAGTATTCAAGTCTTGTCCTTACTTCAAATTAGCTCTAACAAAACTGCAGTAACACAAAGGCCGAGGCGGTCGGTAAAAAACATAGACACGCTGTCGACAGGTGTAACTCAGCTGGAAAAGCTTTTTTTGAAAAAATGTGATTGGAATGGTGTTTAGCAACGTTGTAGGCATAGTGACTGAAGAGAATCATCATACTTTGAGTCTTAAATACTGCCAGCGTGGGATGGTGGGACGATTGAGGAGGAGGAGAGGGGAGGAGGGTTTCAGGTGCGTATCGCTCCTCACTCTGCGTCTTTGTCCTGGCTCTTTGTAGTACTGAAAGCTTCTCCATCTACCCCTGGGGTGAGTGCTTACCTTTGACCTACCATTGTTGTATTGAGAGACGAGCGAGATCACTCAAAGGCAGGTGAACGCGGAGGGAAGGAAGTAAGGAGCCGTATAAGAATGTGTGTTTGTGTGTGTATTTAAGTTCTCTTGAAGAGCAGAATTAATGAACGCCTGAGTTCTGCTTGGAATCATTTTTCTTATAATCCTGTGAAGTCGTGAGGATTGTCTAAATTCTGAGCTCCTAAATAGTGGAGACTAAAACAATGACAAAACAGTTCTTCCTCTCTCTTCTGTTTTTTCTACCTTTGTGTTGTTTACATGCCAACCGTTTCAGCAGCACCGTACGTTTCCACAGTATCATAATAAATTCAAGTATCACTTGCTAGTGAAATAACTTTATCACCAATTGTACTCATCGCCGAGGTGAGTCACGTTAAAATCACGGCCATGATATTGGGCTTTTGCAGAAGCTAACTATTGATTATATAAAACTTTATAAAAAACCCCACCATAATTTGAAATGTAGTTAAGTAGCATTTGTTTTTATGGTTTGATGGGTACAGTACTAGTGCATCGAAGCATAAAATCTGCTGTGGAAATTGCCTTTCTTTTCTCCTCCCCTTCCTCCAAATATCTGTAGTTCAAGCAGGTCTGTGGTTGAACTGTGTTCCAAAAAATTTTGTTTGCTGAACTTGTGCTTTCTTTTTGTCTTCAAAAAAACCCAAATGACTTAAATATGAAATATCAAATTTAACTTCAGAGAGGAATAAACTACAGTAGGAAATTGTAGTAAAATATTCCAGAATCTTCTACCTCATGGAATAAAATTAAGCAATAATTTATTTTTTTCTGCGGCGCCATCAAGGGACAGACAAATTGTGAAGTGCCAATTTCTTTAGCAAGCAGTGATAACAAATAATAACCATTAAACACAATAATAATAATAATATTAATAATAATAATCAAAAAAATTATACACCCAAATGACACAGTGTTCTACCTGCTGGGAACAACACACTTCAAAACATGGTAGAGCTGAGAAAAGTCCCACAGACTAGCACAGACTGGTACCATGGGTCCAGTCTTAGTCCAGGCCACAGCCTCAGTAGGTCAGAGTTCTGTTTGCAGCTGTATGTCTATGTGTGTTAGTCCAGTGTGAGACATCTTCAGTAGCGCAGTCTTTTTTTGGGGAGGGGGGGGGTCAAGAGGGCATTTAGTGTAACGACCCGGTGGACTGGAGCAACAAGGCTGAGTGTGATTGTGGTCTTTTTAAAGGAATTCAGACTATGTTCTTAATAATAGTTTCACACACACTGAGTTAGTGTTGATCATAATAAGAACAAATGCCAACAGATAAGGAATCACACCGTCCAAAAAAAAAAACACCCAAGAGGAATCAAGTCTATTCAGCTCATCAAAAATACAAACAAATAATAATCGTCAATAGTTAAGGTCAAAATATAATAACACAAAGCTAGGTCTTTCAGGAACTGCCTCAAAGGCTTCAGATAGGGAATGCTACTTCAAAACCTTTCAAAAAAAAGAAAAAAAAAATCAAATATCATGTTGAGGGAAAGTGAATACAATTCTACGAAATTGGTGAATTCATAAAAAGCAGTTGAGTGAGGAGGAGATTTTTTTTTTACTCGTGTAGGAGCTCTTGAAGACAGTTGGGGGACTTGAAAATCTCCGGAACCTCACTGTCCAGTTTACAGATGACTTTGTAAATGGCCTTCTTCCAGGACGGGTCCACGTCTTTGCCGGCCACAATGGCATTGAAGAACTCTCTCAGTGTGATTTCAGCCACCTCCAGGAAACGGTCAGGGACCTTAAAAAAGACAACAGTCGATGAGAACTTTTTGAATCTGCATCTTTACTTTTGCCCCTAACACTTACCAACCAAATAGAACCAGGCCAAACTGTTGACACCACCTCTGATGCAGAGTTATTTTTGTTTCGCTTGTATTTATTTTTCACTATATACAGTATATATATTTGATCTCTTCTCAATACTATTTTTATAATATTTTATTTTAATAGTTTCTTCCCAGTCTAAGTTTAACAAAATTGAAAACCAAAGAAACCTTAAAGGTTAAGGTAATTCTCTAAATGAGTTTTTATTACTTCTTATAAAATTATAAGTTTGTCTACAGGACATATTGTTACTGCATGACAAACAATACTCTGCTGCAAAATGGAAGGAACGGCACGTAGTCGTAATACAGATATAGTGATTGAACAATACTAAAAACTACATTACATACAACCTTATCTTTCTGGGCCTTTGACTTGTAGAACATGTCCTTGTGTTCACAGTGGATGTAAAACTATAAATCTTTCTCACTATCTACTTCCTTAAAACACAGCTGAGGTGTTGGCCTGAGAAAAGCCACTTCTTGTGAATTCTCAGGTTTCTCACATCCTCTACTTCCCTGCCTGCCACACGGCGTGCGTGACATCTTTATTAGTCTCACTGTAAATCTGTGACCGAACCGAGTTGCGAGAGGTAGCGAAGGTGCTGGCGAAAGAGGAAGTACTAAATGCTCTGGGTACGAGGAGACACGCCGTCTCTTTAGTGTCCCTGACAGCAGCACTCACCGACACCATGGAGATGATTAGTCTGGCAAAGATCTGTGACACCTTCCCCCAAGCCAACACTCCGTCATACACACACACACACACGCTCATGCAGGCGTGAGCACACACACCAGCGCACACACCTTCTTGTGCCAAGGAGATGACACATCCTGCAGTGTGACAGAGCTCTACATATTGCTTTGCTGTACACACACACAGACACACACACGCAGGCGTACACACAGGTACCCTGGCGGGTTTGGCTGAGCCTCTTTCCTCAACTCAGAGTTCCAGGGCGGCACAGCCTTCAGGGGTCACCTGCTTGGATAATGCTGACTGTCTTTCTGCCCACTTCCCTTGATGCTCACAATGAACACTCTCTCTCTCTCTCTCTCTCTCACACACACACACACACATCAGCAGTGGCCGTAGCAATTGCAGGCTGCCCAAACGCCTGACAGTGCGTACTCCACGCCACTTTCCTCTCCCAGCGTCCTGCAGATACTCATCAGTAGTGTCAGGACACAGCAAGGTTAGCGGCCATGGATATGCACAAACACACACGGACACGTGTGTGTACAAAATTAAACATGTAGGCAGCTTTTTTTTTATGTTGCACACTAACAGATGCATGGGGTAGCACCTGCCCCCTCCCCCCCACCATGGGCTGATGAATTGACGCAATATACGGTTCCCATAGGTCTGGTCTGGATCCAGTGTCCACTGCTTGGGTAAAAAAAATACGAGATGTGAATTAGGAGCTTGCCCTCTGTATGTGTGTGCGTGAGAGACAAAGAGTTGGTGAAAACAAACTAGCCCAATTCCCCAACTATTAAACCCCCCTCTGGAGGGATAAATGTGGATATAATTCACTGGCCGGACTCGTGGTGTTTGAAATAGTGGCACAATGACCCTGTTATGAGGGCAACTTTGTGTGTGTGTGTGATGTCCAGTTAGGAGTGCGAGCGCATGCGCACACTCGTCCCCAAAGACCTCCCTAACGGGCCAGTGCAGTACAGCACCCTAGCCGTTAGACGCAGGGAGTGCCGCATTACTAAGAATATTCCTGCATGGAATTTCTCCTGACGTTTTGACTATAAAAGGACAGCAAAACGCTGACTACAAGGAGAAAGCAATGTCAAGGAGAAAAGGGTATTGGTATTTCAGATCCTCTTGACTGAGAGAGTGAGAATGGGAGAGAGGGAGGGGTGGGGGAGAGAGAGAACGAGCTGTAGAAGGAGGGGCTGAGACGAGTCTAAGGAGAGAACAGTTATTCCTGTCCCACAAGGCTTTGTTTTGTGAGTACGTGTGAGTTCTGTATGAGATCTCTCTCTGTCTCCTGACCGGCAGTCAGTCCACACTGTTTTCAGTCTTTACCTTGTCCAACTCTCTCCCCCTCCTCATCCCTCCCTCTCTCTTTCTCTCTCTCTGGGGTCAGCTGTTGGGCCTTTGTTGCAGGGGCATTGTGGGGGATTATCCAGTGGCCGTTCGTTCTGGAGGCTGTTCGGTAAATGGGGGCCAATCGCGTGGCCAACAATCCTTCATACATATTTCATTGGTCTTTTTTAACAACTTCTCAGCAGAGTCCGAAATTAAAGGACAGATGTACAAAGAGGGGAAAAAAAGGCTGGGGGAGAAGATTCAGAGTTTTTGTGCTGATGTGAGGAGTGATGCCTGAAAAAGGCAAAACAAGGCGACAGACGGTGAACATCCACACGAGTGAGATTTAGAAAACAACTTTGTTAGGTTTTGTGCCTCTTGACACTGTTATATTTATTTATTGGGGAGCTAATGTGTTAGTGTAAACTTAGTGATGCCATTCCTAGATAATGTGCCTTGTTTTGTAGGATTAGTATCTGGAAATCAACTGAACAAAAAGGAGGAAGAATTGAAAATTCACTGGCGTGATGTTACACTGTCAGAAAAAAATAAATGAAACTGATAAACTACTACACTTTTCTTCTGTAGAACTAGGTTTTTAAAACAGAATGTGATGTCAATTATATACATTGTAATCAGTTTAAGGAGGAATAAATGACAAGGTCACGCTCTATTATCAGGCTTGTTGCAGTGACAGACGCAGCTAAGCTTTTGTTCGATGGTTGAGGTGATTAGAGTGGAAACGTTCACAGTATATTTCCCAAACATCCAAACAGTGAAACAAACTGGATCACACAGACCCTGAGAACACCTGCCTCCTGTCCTGCTGCCCCGGTGGTTTGGAGTGTGGTGAGGTTGTGATTGTAGGTGAGGTACAAGGGGGGACAGAGAAAGGGGGAGAGTAAGAATTTACAGTGGATTAAAAGGAAAAAAAAACCCACTGCTTTAGTGAAAAGGGATATAAATGCTGATCTACCCCTGTGTAACACTATATGAAAGGAGGAAACAAGGAGGGGAAAAAAGGGAGGAAGAAATTAACAAAGAGGGATAAAGCCTGTCTCACACACACACACAGACACACACACACAATTCTCGCCCTAAACTTTGCGTCCCGCTGTGTGTTGGGTAAATACCAATCAAGGGGGAAGAAAGAAGGGAAGAAAAAGCGAGGCACCACTGACAGCAATGAGCCGCTTAATCACTCTCATTCACTGCCTCTCTCCTCACCCCCCACCCCCTCCCGTCCTCTCCACCTCTTTCCATCTCCCTCTCTCGTGACAGGTTGCTTTGAGACAGAAGGATAAGCTCTTTTTCACTGAGAGGGAATCGGATTTCCTGCTTTTTGATGAGATAATAAAATATGACAGAGGACAATAGGAGCCTGTGGACAGCCTGCTGGGAGCTATTCACTTTAGCAGCAGCCCCTGTCTTGAGGTTGCTGGACATTTAAAAAAAAACAACAAAACAGCCAGAAGCCCGAGCTGACAAATAACGGGTATCATTACATGTAGGGCCTGTAATGTGTGTGTGCATGGATTTCACTCAAGCATGAGAAATCAGTTCTGTCTGGGTGACTCAGGGTTGGCTGTTTGTTTGGCCAACATGCACCCCCCCCCCACCCCCCGCCCCTTGCTTTTGGGAACTGTCAGGAGATGTATTGCACCTTCTATTTGCACAGCGTTGGCCAAACAAGACAAGACCCTGGAAGATAAGGCTGTACGTAAGTGTGTGTGTGTGTGTGCGTCAGTTTCTGTCTGAGTGCCTGTGTGTCATATGAGGGGAAGTGAAAAGGTTCTAAGATGATTTTTTTTAAAAACAACCCACCAGCAGTTCAACCAATCTTTGTCTCGTCTAATGGCTGTAATTGATTTCCTACAAAATGTGTAGTTTAGTTTGGGGTAAAGAAAAATTATAAATTTGACCTTTGCTGTCATTTCACAGTGTCATATACAACATAACAAATTTGACCCTTGACAAAACTACCTGTGTATATACAGTACAGTCGCTGTGTGACTGTACTGTAGGAGATGAATTAAGACTTTCCTCTCTTTTTTTTTAACTCTCTGTACTTTTGACAGAGACGATTTACAGTCTTGAAGCGCGAGCATTATCATCTAACGTGTATCTTTTTCTTTGTGCCGCTCAAGAATGTTTTCACTTCTGCTGACAGAGGAAACCCAAGTTTAAAAACATGAGGTGAAACTGAACTGAGCCTGTGAACACTCGGTGAGTAAAGCCAGAGCTTCCCAAACCTTGAACACACACTTTCACACAGACCCCCGAGCCTTTGGTATCAGCTCAGATCAATAATCTACAAAGGCCGTGATAAGCTCTTGGCCCGCACTGTCACTTTAGCCAAACACAACCCATGTCCCCTTTCTTCCTGCACCTCACCACACTTGTCCCCTACCCTTTCTCCCACTGATAAGACTCTGCCATGAGAGAAGAGCCTGATCATTTGAAAAAAACAATCTTTATTTGTCCTCCAGTTTCCTTCATTACAAGCTCAGTTGACCTTGATTTTCTGAAGTCTCCTGCGAAGGAAGTTTAGTTACGTGCTGAGGAGACTTCTGGGACGGGAAGCCGGCCCCAAAGCTGAGCAAACAGCAGCTACGTTCATTGTGCTGATAGCCCTGAGAACACTGAGCCTTGAGGTACTGCTGTGTGTGTGCGTTTTTGTGTACACATGTGTGCAGGAGCATTTGTGTCACATGGGCTCTTCTCAAGGTGCACCTCTGCAGGGGGAGTCAAGGGCAGGACAGGGTCAAAGATGGTGATGAAGTCGCTATCCTATCTTTCTCCCTTCTACTGACAAGGAGGCTGAGGAAATCATCTGATGTCATTTCTTGACACTACTCCCCCCTCCCCTCC